GGAATGTTTGGCAGCGCTGTTGCTGATGTGGAGGAGTTCTGTTACTCATCAGGAATCCAATTTCATTGCATCACGCTAACAATAATTGTGCATCAGCAGATTCAATCAAAAAACTCACGGATAGTGTAAACAATAAAGGAGATACAATAGTTTTACAACTCGAAACGTCGAAGTAGTTACAACGATGCTTATCATTAAATAAATCATGTCCCCAAACGGCGGTGGCGGTGTGTTGTACTCGACCAACAGAAATACTAAAACAAAAAATTATCTTGGAAACTATCGAGTCGAACGGATTTGCAGATTATGCCATCGATGGACAGTTATTATGTGTACGTTTTGGTGTACATTCATTGAAGTTTCACGTGAAATGGCTGAAATCAAAAATTATATGCCAATTGGGAGATTGCTAGACGTAAATGTTACAAGTGCTAGTGAACAATGACACAAAATAAGGACTCTAGATTAAGACAAATTTGAATACTGTAAAAATTCTGTTAACAACTAAGGGAACAGGAGGTACCATATTTATAATACATAATGGTTTATGGAAGTATATTCGCGTGTTTGAGATACTAAGTTAGCATAAAACAGCGCGAGATGAAATCGATAAGAAACTAGAGAATTTTAAAGAGAATGCTGCAACAGTTTTTCCGCCAATGTCTAGAGATGACGTTAAATCTGAACTTCAGACGCGACCTAAAAATAACTTTCGCTTCACTGAAAATGTCAACTTGACACATTTCTATTTATAAAATTTTCTTATTAACACTTGACGCGCTCATATGAATATAAACATCTGTCATAGACGCATACACACACACACACACACACATATATCCGAGGAGTGTCATTATTTATATTACCACTTTGAAAGACACCGTTGTATAATTTACAAAGTCAATTTATGGGATGGTAGAAATATCGTAATATGGGTGTTTACATACAATTTGATAACAGCTTCAAACAAACATAAGTATTTCATTATACATATATCATTTAATAATTCCTGTGAGTAGCAAGAATGTTGCCGACAAAGTCGTGGCTAATCTCAATGCAAATGAATGTTGATTAAGTGGGTTAATCCTATAGCCACCAATATTAGTCTAGTTAATATAACCGTTAAGTCTATGTATAGAGCAGAACAATTTTATATGTTTACTTACGTTATAGAATAGCTAATTAGTGAGCTTTTTAAAAAATAACAGTGTCTTTCAAACACTTGGCGAATAACACGTTAAATGTAATCAACTATATGAAAACTCTTACGTGTATGGTGAAAAATTCAATACGAAGCATCTAGAAATATCAGGCACTTCTTGTAAAATGTAGGCATTTATATTAAAATCTACGATAGTTCATTGTCCCAATTATTAAACAAAGGCAATCGAATATAAAACAAAACACACTTTTCATCCCATAAAAGGAGACCGTAAACCTTAGATAGTTAAGTTCACTTTTATTTGACGTGCACCTGAAATTTGTTTAGTTGCACATTGCGCTAAATGCCATCGCAATTTGAAGCTTATTTCCATACGATTGGGTGAGTAGTTGGACATTTAAAATGACGACACAACGGTCAACGTCTCTGCTCGATCGACTGCCCAAACATTCCAGCAGTATTTGTCACCAAACTACCAAATACAATAAGAGCACATGGAGATATTCAATAAGATATAATTTGAAACTTTCATGCACCGGTTTTATGCGTCACTTTGCGACGGCACTGATGGGAAAGATGATCTATATGCTTCCGTTTGTATGCATAAACAATGAATTCTAAATATCATGTTTTCTGTAAATACATTTATATATTTTATTAACTATATAGATGGCGTTAGTGTTTGTTATATTTTTTATCAAAAACAATCCATTTATTTTCAAATTTTGTTCCATTCAGTGTCATTTTATTTTAATCGCCTATGAATTTGGTATATTTTCGTTTTCAAAGTAATTTAATTTGCCTTTATGTAAAATCGGTTTTGTTTTTAAAAACAAATTAACATAAACTACAAAACATAAAAAGCAACGTATATTTATTACCTTTGTTATCATATTTATTTTTATCGCTATGAAGTGTAACAATTATGCGGTTTTTGTTTGTCGATAACAAAGTGCTAATAATTATAAACATTTCAATATATATCTTCATACTGATAATATCTATAATACTAATCTAGTAAAACTCGGTGGGTATATGTAGCTCCCATTTAAAAAAGACAAAAAGTTTTATTTATTTCTTTTGGTAATATTATCATTCAAGTTGCTACTTTGTGAATGAGTAACATTGTTGCCATTGGAGCCACAAAAGTATGAACTAAAGCCGAGACCAAGAAGCGTGACAGGAGCGTGAGCGGGCACAGCCAATAATCACCTAAGTAATTTTAAACCAATAAAGCACAGAGTCAATAACTTTAGATAGATTTTTTATGTAACATTATTTTTCAAGATCTAAGCGTTTGCCAAGTATCCCTAAATCTTTGGACAGCTGCTCTCACAGATAGATAAGTACTGAATAAATCGACTTGGTTTACATTGATTTCATAACTCTTTACGGCAGAACAATTGCGTTGTGACACTTGTGCCTTTGTATATATTATGCTTTTGATGGGATCTCATTTCTTTTTAAGGGTAGTTCCGCTTTTATTATTTTTGGGTATTTTACCTTGACTGTCAGCTACGGGCATCAAATATCACTCAGTTACTGTCTCTGTGGTCTTTTTAAAAAGGCGTTAATGTACGAGGGTCAAACTGAAAGTTCTTAGAAAATCAAAAACTGATTACATTAGCCAGTTATTAGTTTTATTATATCTTTTCAAAATATTGTCCATTCACGTCAATACACCGCTGCATGCGATGGAACCACTGGGAAAAGCACTTTGCCCACTCGTCCTTAGGGGTCTCTTCAATGGCATCGCGATACGCAGCCACCGCTTCTTCAGCATTCATAAACCGCTTTCCTTTAAGTTTTTCTTTAATTTTTGGAAATAAATAAAAATCACAAGGCGCGAGGTCGGGGCTATACGGCGGGTGACCCAGTAATTCAACGTTTGATGTCGCCAAATAGTCGATCGTTCGCTTGGCGGTGTGCGACGAGGCGTTGTCGTGGTGAAGGAGGATCCTACTGCGAGGTCGTTTCTCTCGAACTTTTTCCAAGACAAGTGGCAAACAATTGGTAGTGTACCATTCTGCAGAAACTGTTTTTTGATCCTCTAACACAATTGTTGCAAAATGACCTATCCTTCCAAAGAACGAGGCCACCATTTTTTTTCCCGCACTTCGATCTCTCTTCACTTTAGTTGGCAACTCCTCGAAAGGAAACACCCACTGAGCAGATTGTCTTTTGGTTTTAGGATCATAACAGTAAATCCAGCTTTCGTCACCTGTTAGTATGTCGAACACAGCATTTGAGTCACCTCCGTTAAATCTTTCAATCATTTTACGACACCAATCCACACGATGGAGTTTTTGAGCCTCAGTCAAATTATGAGGTATCCACCGGGCGCAAAGCTTCCTGACCGCTAAATGTTCGTGGAGGATTTTGTGCACTTGACTCATACCGATGCCTAAGCTTGTCCGAATCTGTTGATAGGTCACTCTTTTGTCAGTCTCTATCATACGCCGCACAACACAGATGTTATCTTCAGTCGTCGCCGTAGAAGGCCGTCCCTCACGTAAATCATCAGTGAGATTAGTGCGACCACGTTTAAACTCATTAAACCAGTTGTAAACAGTCGCACGAGATGGGGCTTCATCGTGAAAGGCCAATCGTAGTCTATCATAACTTTCTTGTTGACTTAAATGACATCGAAAGTCATAAAAAATCATTGCACGAAAATTTTCTCGTGTTAAATTCATGATGACGTGACACAGACAATTTTCAATTTGCCGCCAAATCGTAAAACAAATGACAAATGAATGAAATATATACTCAGTAATATTGGCAAAGAGTTATATTTTCAAATTTTAGAATTATTTTTTTATTATATTGTTTATAAGTGGCCAGTTCTAAGAACTTTCAGTTTGACCCTCGTATTGTTTTTTGATAAATCATATGATAAATATTCTCGGTGAATGCATCTACAATAAGTCATAATTATATTCAGAATATAACCAAACATAACCTGTTTAGGTATGTCGTTCTCGAAAGTGCCACATGTGCTTGGCCGCATGTAAATACTGATGAATGAACTTTGATGAATAAATTTTGATATATTAAAGAAACCCTTTTGATTCCGTTTCTTGGCCGATCATACGTCCACTCTGTACGTCACATAGATTTAAGGGTATGCATAATTACATCCAAATGTAAATATTATAGATTTCCCATGTTAATAGTTTCCTTAGAATATATTTTAATTATGTATATTTTATTTACTCTGGAAATGTTTTTATAGGTTTTTAACACGTAGTGTAAAAATTATCTTTGGTTTGTGTTACTAAGCAACGCATTGACGGATGTTTTCAAAATGCTCTACAATTATAAATAATACAAAAATCTAAAAAAACGGGACAAATATTTTATAATAATAGATTTTTACCTTATTTTGTATGCAAAATAATAACAGTGTTCAAAATTTGGAGCCCGTGGGTCTGCTATAAGTACCTTGGAATTTTAATGATCTATGAGTCGGTCAGTGACAAAATTAAGGCATTTTGAACTGCAACAATTATTAAAGTACTTATTGAAATTTAATTATATTAAATATAAGTTATATATAATATACGCTAAAATTAACTTAAATACACTGTAATACTAATCAAATTCTGAACAATGTAATTTGTGAATAAATGTTGCACTTTTTATCACTGAAAATTAAGGCTTATAATTTACTCCACAACGAAGTTATAGGGGGTCAAAAATAGCTCAATTGGCTTCGAGAAAAGGTCGGTACGTCCATGCCCATTTAATTTTTTTACATTCAAATATGCGAAATTAACAAAACGTGGTGATTTCAAACTAACGAGGCGAAGTAATAGCACTGCACAACTGTAGATGGTCACCATTCTAACCACTTTGTGGGTTTCGTGGGTACGAGCGGGTATATATAAGCAATAGCTAGAGAGCTAGCCATTAGTGCAGTAGACGGTGTCTCGTATGATTGGAGCTTTGCCAATGCCGAGTATAAAGCTGACTGAAGTACGTACATAAGTTGGTAACATTACAATACCAATACCGCCACCGCCACCGCTCCCGCTGTCATCCAGCACGCGGTCTTAGTTTCCCATAGTGAGTCACCTTGGTGAGCACAATGGTTGAGTAACTAGATATTTATGATAGATTTACCAATGCAACGATTTAAAGATCCATTATAAGGGTGGTTTTTTTATTAAAAAGTAACACTTTTCATTTTAATTTGAAAAATATACGTATATAGACTGCACTAAAGAGGTGGTCTCGTGAAAATTACACGCTTTGACATTCTGAAAACTTTGTGTTTCTGTATGTTTGCTTGATTTTCCTCAATCGCGATATTTTATTAATCGGTAATTATTAAAAACTGTACTTATTTATTTTAGGACATACAATACTATGTTATATGCTGGTGTGAAAGAATTCGGCCCAAGTTCAAATGATGATTTGAATTTAATACGAGAGTCGTTTAGTTCGAACTTTAGTTTGATAAAATAGTTAAAATGTTACATTAAACATTTTAAACATTTGCAATTTGAGAAGAAGCCTCCCTATTTTTAAATACAAAACGAACACGTCCGCAGCCGATTAAACGAAATCGGGCCACGAAGCTGCGACCCGCGGCGGTAGATACTCGTAGAGGGGCCACTATCACAACGGCTGCTGATTGACGCCGCTTGTGCAATTATCATATTCGCACGCATTGCCACAGTCAACTTTGAATACAAGGACAGGCGGATGCTATCGATTTAAAATATAATATTATTCATACTAACTTATAAAACCTTCACCGAAGCTTTCTTAATTAAAATATATAAAAATATCACATACAATATAAAAAATCGTATAGGTTACTCTCACTTCATACAAAATCATTGCTGAGCACAAATATCTACTAGGATATTTAAGAGTACTTTAAAATGTCGGTATGTTTTGTTTAAACCAAGAATGCCCTTCGTTTCGAACAATGTGATAGGTACTACTTTCACCCATAACCTAATGCCAGTCAAATAATAAAATATACATATAGGGACACTAAACATAACACTAATATCTTGTTGACAGAAAGCTTAAATAACTGTAGGTACCTACTGAACTGAAATAAAAATATTGTCCTGGGAAGAACATGACGGCTGGTAATCCTACTTTAAGATTTAATATTGTAAATGTTACGTAACAAACACAAGTTCTTATTAGGTAATTTATTGATAAAAATAATTGCGGGCTACATCATTACTAGAGATGCGCCGAATAGTTGGTATTCGGAATTCGGTTTTTGTGTCGAAAATGTTCGGATCGAGTATTTCTATTTTCTTGGCTAGACGTCATGGTATAGAACTAATAGACACCCTTATGTTCAATGAAAAAGCTAATAAAATAAAGCTATTCAACATTTATTTTTAAACTGCAAAACCAATTAAATGGTAAATCGAATAATTCGAAGTTCGGTAAACAAAGGATAAACCGAATATTATCAGCTATTCGGTGAAACCACTAATCGGCCCATCTCTAATTATTACTTAATGTTAAACGTCGATATGCAAACTTAATAAATAAATTAAACCAACAAGAAAGTAACTTCAACAAAATAGTGTAACCATTGATCGTATGGAATCACTAATGCACTAAAACGTGCAATTGTTTATAATAAAAATTAAAAATAATAAACTGTTATCAACAGAAGCTAAAAATTGACGCAGCTATGCTAATAATAAATAAATTAGTAATAAATAACAACATTTGAATAAAGTGTTATGGAGTGAATACTTGTAACATTTATGAATATGGGTTTGAACAAAGTAATCTGTCACTAAGTACATATGGAGATAGCACCAAAATTAGAACAAGCAGCGCCCGGCGTGCAAGCATCTGGGTCACGGCTCATGATAGAGGGAGACGCGATATAGTCTCACATACACCGTGAGAGGGGGACAGGTAGCGCTCAAGTGGTACGGTTGAAATTTAAATCGAACTGTTTAAAGTAGAAAACAAACTTTTTGTTGTAAGACGGCAATATTAAATTGTGTCTGAAATTTTGGCCGTTACCCAACTAACAAACAGTATAAAAAGAAACACTACACCTAGATTGTCTCACGAATGGCAAACTTTACAAACGCTTTATTATGTAATTAAACATTTTTAGTTAATAAATAATGTTTAAAACGATTGCACTCGAAAGTGGACAAACAAATTTTAAGAGTTAAAGGTCATATTACTCAATACAATTTTGTACTCTTAAATCACTCCATTAAACGCCAAAATAAACCCTCCGATATCCAAATGAGAGTAAATAAATTAAGCCCTAAGCACATTTCAGAAAGAAACGATTAATATTCACATGCTCGTGGTAATAGTAAGCAATAATAATCATTAAACTATTGTTGCAAGATAAACACATTTATCTAATCACTAAATATGCACAGAGACAACTGACAATCGTACAGATAAAGGATTCTAATAAATCGATTAGTGAATATGCGCACGATCACGTCCCGATGTAAGACGGACGATTGTCGTCTCTAACGCCCGTGCACAGCGGTGCAATTTGCGTTGCAGCCGTTTGAAAGTCACTTTCTACTAGTTTCATTCACACCGTAAACAGCTGACTCGAGCTATGGAATGTTGGACGTTCTCGACGAATCGTTTGCCGTTCAAGTCATAATTATAAGGAAGAGATACTTAGAAATAGTGTCTATTATAATTTATATAAAATGATTATTAAAAACATTAATTAGATGAACGATTTTTTTTTCTTCATAAACGAAAACGTCCATTATATGTCATAGTATGTAATACAACCCCTTAAACAAGCAAATTTCAATTAACTTTAAAACTCAATTCATTTAAATTCAATTACTTAATGATTTTATGTAAACTTGGTACCCGTTGTGTGTAACTACATACATATATCCAATTAGTTATGTTCAGTTAAATTAGACGACAGAAAGTTTTAGTTAACAGATTTTATAGAAACCCTGTATGAAATGATATGATTTCGTAACAAGTTTGGACTGGGCAGTTGGCAATGAGTCATGTGATAACATTTTCGGGAACGGACTATATGAATCACCATACTGACGAGGGAGATATTACAAAATAATACAAATTTCACATGAAACTGATATGAAAGTAAATAAGCAACAGTTTATTTTGAATACCATCAAATAAATGTCCCGGAAAATTTGGGACGGGTGGCAACCCTGAAAGGGACGGAAGACGGAAAGTCGGGATCCAAAGATAAAGGTACAATTAAACAATCGTCTCCGATTAAACCTCGATAAAATTACACATGTGACCAGACTAGAAACAGATACGTGAGATAAAGCGGTATGTGATGTGTCAACAACTATGTATACGCAACATCACAATTGGTATTCCGTGCCCCGCCCCCCTCCCCCCGCCTATACATTACTGAAAGTGCACCATCCTGATCGTCTCCAGATTCCCTAGATCCTGAACCTCATAGAATTGGTATATTGATTGCAGTGTTTCATATCAAAATTTTATATCGCGGCATGCTCATCCTAACACAATTGGAACATAACAAGAGACAAGTTTTAGAGCTTGTTTATTATACCAAATATATTATGAAGGCAAAATCTTTAATTAAAATTACATCATATTTCTAAGATGATGACTTTAGTTCATTTATTTTATCGAACATAAACTAAAATTTCAACTCGATACAAGTATCTAATTAGCTAACTCATCAAAAACATTCGTTAAACAAATTACAGTATATGTATGTATTTATTATATATACTGTTTGGCAACACGACAAAACGTGTCATATCGAAACAGCGTCGACTTCGAAGTGAATACTGTCGAAAAAATAACGACTAACATTTACAATTAGACAATTCGTCTCCCGTGAACTTTGGTTATAATCAGTTTCAGGCCCGGTTCATCTTCTCAACACACACAGTAATTTAACTCCACCCACACTCATTGCTCAAGTTTTATTTTACCATTCATCCCTCTCTGGAATATTATTTTTAACACAGTCTATTTATTAAGCCTCGAGTTTACTTTTCTTTAAATCACCAACCACACTTAATTGATTTGTAAGATACCTAAACTTAAAAATTGTTCTGAAGTGTTTGTTAGTTTAAAAAAAAATAACAATAATTAGGTACTTACGATATCATGTCCTTGACTGCCACTCCTGACGACCTCTGGTGCCATATATTCGATAGTACCGCAAAAGCTGTAAGCTCTGTTTTCGCCACCGCAGAATTCCTTAGATAGACCGAAGTCAGTCAACACTATGTGACCTTCGGCGTCCAAGAGGATGTTCTCCAGCTTGATATCACGGTAAATGATGCCCAGCTGACGGATAAAACAGTGTTAATCAGAAACCATTCTGATGCCCATCGTACATAGTCTATATTAATATTATGAAAAGGGAGAGAGTGTAGGTTTTTGTAAATTTTGTCTCAAGAACTTAAAACTCCGTTATCACGACGCTCGCAACCGGAAGTCGATAAAAATAAAGAACATGGTGGCAATCCCGTGAATAACAAGCATTCTAATGATAACTATCATTAAAGTTTAAAACAAGATAAATAATTATATAAAAGTCTCGTCGCAAAAGAAAAACGTAGAACATAGCATCGTATTACAATTATTATTATAATACCCATCACTAAATGCAAGATTATCAAGCATTAGTTTTATACTTAATCGAAATGTTTGTTATGTATGATAGATTTACGTTTATTATTTATAAAACTTTAAATGAAACTAAAAATTAATAAGTATTATTAATCTAAGTCACCTTGTGTAATTGTTCTAACGCGAGAATGATTTCGGCTATGTAAATCCGGACTTCGTTCTCGTTGAAATGTTCTCTCTGATACAAATGTGTGAACAGCTCACCACCGGCAACATAATCTGTGGACAAAAACAATTATATTATTAACTAATAGCAGTTAAAAAACATTGGCTTGAATTGAAACCTTTCGGTACCTCGTTTGACGTAAAGACATAAAATTAAAGTTTTCCCAAGTCACTTGCTGCGGAGAAAATTACAAAGAACACCAGAGTACAGAGACAATATATTTTTACAGAGGGTGAAGAATAAATACAAATTAAACAGAGTTATATCAAAAGACGTCGGTATTCGTGAAGAATCACTGTACAAACGCAAAAACAGACTCGTCAAGGGTTATTTATAATTTTCTCCATTTCATTAGACATTGTTGCAAAGTCGAAACGAAATTAACCTGTTGAAATTGTTCAAGAGTCACTCATAACAACGTTACAAAGACAATATTCCTTTTATACTGATTGACATTCTATCAAAGGAAACAAATAACGTTTCTGCACCATACATTTGCGATAATATATTTTTTCTATAGATGGACTCGTCTATTATTAAGTGTAATTCTAGGTCTCTGACGGAAATTGTGACAACAAAACCGGAGTAGATAGATAGAGATAGAGAGAAATTAAAGTCAATGTTGACGACAGATATAAATAGTTTACGTATTATAGGTATAATGTGAGAATATGCCAATGGACTGGCTGTTATTAGCACAACCGTTTTATTATGAACCTGAGGAATGAGGTTACCAGGATAGAATTCATATGCGGTTCGTACAAACAGATTTAATAATTTTATTGTAACGTTACCCAGAATGTAGATCATGAACATTAATTAATATTTGATCTTTTGATTGTAACAATTACTTTTACAGATTTTTCCTACACTTTTTGCCATTTGAACGCTAAATAACCATTAACCATATGAAAACTGATTAAAATTCAAAGGAAAATGCTAAATAAAAACGGCGAACTCTAACAGAAGCAAGCGGACTAAAGTTAGTGTAACCGCATTTTCAGCAGAATGCATTACGAAAGGAAAAGCAACACCTGCCCGTTGAGCACACCTTACGAAAGCATCAGCAGAGTTAATGCAATTGAACTTGAAAGTAGATGAGTTAGTTCTGGAGATGTAGGTCAAAATGCTGCGCGACCTACAAGTTGACTACAACCATTCCAACGCCGTTGTGAATTCTTAATATGTTTGAGAAAATTTTGTACAACTCGGTAAAGAAAGATTATATGCATCTTAGGTAGGATCTTTTCAGCAGTTTTGTACGCACATATCAATGTTATCTAATGAGATCCTAGAATATAACATTATAGATATTTATTACCATATTGTGTACGTACTTTTAAGTGAGTTAGAATTTTGTGTTGCAGTGACACTCTTATCCACTTTAAGAAATATTTATTCAAACAAAAAATTAAATTACGACGTTTTAGCGTGTATCTTGTCTAATGAAATAGTAACCAGAGACAGGCAAGCTTATAAACGGTATGTACTGCTACTACTAGCAACGCTGATATGCTAGTGTAATATGAATCACTACAGCTTCTCTGTTTTCCCTAAAACTAAATTTATTTCGAGATCATTGATGAATTTTGTTCATATCACGTCTTCGTGAATCATCAGAGGTAATCAAAGATACTACTCCCATTATGAAATAAAACATGTAATCTTAGCTCTGTTTCGAAATTCGTTTTCAGAGTAGAACTTCACGATAAATTAAGAAGTGTTTTTTCATACTGTGGAACGTCAATGAGTACCAAATCACTTCTATTCACAAGTCGCCACCGCACACGGACCGTACACTACGGTCAATCTATTGGCAAACAATATTCTGACGTTTAACGCAACATCGAATCAGGCACCATTATAAGGTAGACTCTATCTATTCAGTTGTTGATATTACTCAACATTTCAGGAGTTGTGGTGCAAAGCAAAAGAGATTTCTCTCAATCTATAAATATGTACGTTAATTATACATCCTTATAAATTAGAAATATGTAGCGTAAGCAAAATATGATTTTGTCAAAGAAATTAATTGTAAATAATAAAAATATAAAACTCGACAAGGAGCAAACTGGTTCACTTCGATTAATATAATTTAACAAAACAATTTCAAAGATACAATTGATTAACAATAATCCTAGTTGAATAGTTTACAAGGAAAGAACGTATGATCGGTACGGTCACGATTAGCGTATGACGACGTGAGAAACAAAATCCAAATTGGTCATTACAATTATGATGTCAGGTCATGCGTTAAAATCGGCCCAAATAGTGAATCAACAGAGACAACTAAAGCAATTTACCGTTTCTAGATTAACACTAAAGGCAGAGTTAGAATAAATCACACTGAACATTAATTTTACATATCAATTCTTTTTTATTATCATCACATGGTCTAGTAAGGCTGATTGAGTGTTCAGTCGATTAGAGGAACATCGAAGGGTGCTCTTTGATTCTCCTCTAGTGTACAATCGATCTGATAATAAAATAATAGATTGTCTTGAGTCGCTAACCTTTGTATAAAAGAATAATTACTTTTTTTCTAAACAAAGTTTATTGCTCAAACAGGTCTAACCAAAATGCAAACATGTGAAAAGAATATGCATATCAAATCTTTCTTCTTTTTTTCCCTCCAAGGAGCTTCCTGCACACCGAGTACTTTTTTTGACAGCCTTTTGTACTTGATCCACAGACGATCTTAAAGTGATGTGCAATCAACGTCTCATTCGTTGAATATGTGAAAAATACAATTGCGATGACCACACGAGATATATCTGAAAATTAACAATTCTCAACAGTCGGCCATCCTGAACCCATATCCGTCCCGGATATGATAAGATCATTCAAATTGATGTTATAGTATCTTTTCAGATTAACATGTACAATAATGAGTTTGTTTTTATTTTTAATTATATATATTTCTTAATTATAGTATAGCACTTTGAATGTAAAATTGATCAAATATACTAATTGAATGTAATTTCTCGGCCATCCTACGCGTTTCTGAATGTCCTCATTCAACGTTTAAGAATAAAACATTTAGGAAGAGAAAAACAAAATAATAATAACATTCACTGAATATTGTAATGACTAACTAAAGTTTTATTTAATAATAAAACTTACAAGAAATCAACAAATAAAATCACTCTTTCTATAATCTTTACTATCGCAGTAACTTCACTAATTAATCACAGATCTGCAAAACGTCAATTGCCATTTCAATGTGGCGAATGCTCACCCTCATTTCAAAATAAATGTTTTGGGTACTGAATATTATCAATTCACTCCTGAATGAATGGATGCCGCTTGCACATTGAGTACTACGACCTTGTTCCAAGATAGTGATTGTCTGGGCATCGCTTGCAAACTATGTGCTACGACCTCACACCAGAGAAATGACCTGGGCATCGCTTGTACACTATGTACTACGACCTCACTCCAGAATAACGACGGTCCGGGCATCGCTTGCACACTATATGCTACGACCTCACTCCAGACTAATGACGGTCTGGGCATCGCTTGCACACTATGTGCTACGACCTCACTCCAGATAGAAAACTGCCTGGACATTGCTTGCACTCTGTGTGCTACAATCTCACTCCAGAAATCACGTTCATTCTGCGGCAACCTTTGTTAGTGCTTTTTCATATTTCGGTGTTTCCGGACCTTCATCATAATCATCATCAAGGGGAGTTCACTATAAGCTAAGGAAGTGTATAAGGAAAGGTGAGGGGAGGGTATGGTAAACAGGATAGGTGTAATATATATATAATCTCACTATGTTATATAATTGTGTTTAACTTCTCTAATTTTGAGTCACATTAATATAATCATTTTCACCATATTGGCATCATTGATCAAATCATATTTTGTTTAATGATTAGAATCAAATATAATCTACACACTGTATTACTTATCATTCGCTATCACAATAATCACTTTCGGATTCCGATTCTCTAAACCGCACCCACGGTTTAAGTTTATCTATAGAGAAAATATTTTTATATTTCTTTTTAGAGTAGCCTTCAACACTGCTGATCTCATAACGATCATGATCAAGAGCCGCAGTCACTTTGAAAGGGCCGCTATAAGCTGGTGTTAATTTATTACTTTCACCGGGAGTTCTGGAGCTTTTCAGTGCCATAACCAAATCACCGACTTTATATGTTTTAGCTTTACATCTTTTTTTATCATAGCGCTGTTTCATTTCTTGTTGTTGTGCCATTATCGTCGCACTAGCTTCGTTTCGAATCCGTGTTAAAGTCTCGTCTGGAATACTTATCGCTTGATCGATTTCGTGAAGATGACCCTCGACTGTATTTACAGTATTTTTACCAAAAATAATTTCAGTAGGAGTCTTGCCGGTGCTCCGGTTTACGGTATTATTAAGGCTCCATTGTACGTTAGTGACCTGTAAATCCCAGTCTTTATCATCATCGCCATGACAGAGTGCTATAAGGGACTCTAAAATACTTCGATTGTAGCGTTCAATTTGCCCATTAGCGCGTGGTGTGGCGACAGCGTTCAACGTGTGCTTAGTTCCTACAAAATTTATATAATCTTCAAATTCTTTTGATGTAAAACTTGTTCCCCGATCTGATATCAATTGTTTTGGGGTGCCGAATAATCCAAATATGTCCCTAAGAACCGCGATAGACGTTTTACTTTTAGTATTTTTAACAACACGCAGAATAATGAATTTTGAAAAAGCGTCAATAATGCCAAGAATGTAAGTATTACCTCTCTTACTTTTAATGAAAGGGCCTAAATGATCTATATGTAAGCACTGAAAAGGGACAGTCGGCTTAGGTATAGGATGCAAATAGCCTTGCCCTTTCCCTCCTGGTCGTTTTGCATGGGCACATGGAATGCACGCTCTTACATATTTTTTTTACGAATTGTGTCATCCGTGGAAACCAGTAATCACGTCTAATCTTTTCAAGAGTTTTAATGAAAGAAAAATGTCCAGAGTCGTCATGACATTGCTGACAGATCTTCCATCTAGCTTCTCTAGGGACAGCCCATTTTAAATCGCCTTCAATTTTTCTATATATCTTTCCTTCTTTAAGCACATAGTTTTCTTTGATGTCTTTGGCTTCCTGACTTTTCGTGTCAAGAACGGCTTTTATGTGACAAAGCCTTGGGTCGCTCATTTGAACAGCTTGGAGCCAGTGTATTTCTTCTACTCGCATAATCATATTATTAGAAACATCTTCAATTGTACTACCGTCTCCTGCGATAGGGTTGCGACTTAACGCATCTGCGTGAGTTAATTGGGAACCCGGTCGGTACTCGATTGTAAATGTGTACTCCTGGACCAACAGCCACCAACGAGCTATCCTTGGGATCAAATCTCTCTTAGTGAGTGTGGTGCGAAGGGCGTTACAATCAGTAACTACCTTGAACGTAACGCCAATCAGGTATACTCTGAACCTATTCAAGGAAGCGACAACCGCTAGAGTTTCTAGTTCATACGAGTGGAAATGTCGTTCTTCTGCTGTCGTTTGCCTACTGAAATAGGCTACAGGTTTTAAGGGCGACTTTTGATCAGGTCGTTGCAACAAAATACCGGCTAAACCTAATGAACTTGCGTCTGTGTGAAGTTCGGTCTCGTCGGTAGGATTGTATATTGCCAAAACTGGACGGCTAGTTAATATCTTTTTTAAATTCGTAAATGCCTTCATTTGGTCTTCGCCCCAGACCCATTTTATGTTTGATTTAGTCAAATTAGTTAGCGGTCTAGCCAGTGTAGCAAAATTAGAAACAAATCTCCTAAAAAAACTACAGAGACCTACGAATTGACGTACTTCATGTACGTTTTGAGGAGTTTTAAAGGACGTAACAGCATCGATCTTTTTCTGACCCGGTTTAACACCCTCTCT